GAGACACGATAAAGTGATTTTGCAGCATGACAATGCTCGATCCCAAATTGCGAAAGTGATCAAGACATACTTGGAAACGTTAAAATGGGAAGTCCTACCCCATCCGCCGTATTTTCCAGACGTTGCTCCCTCTGACTATCACTTGTTTCGATCAATGGCACACAGCCTGGCTGACCAGCACTTCCGGTCTTATGAAGAAGTAAAAAATTGGATCGATTCGTGGATCGCCTCAAAAGATGACCATTTTTTTCGACGCGGGATTCGTACGCTGCCCGAAAGATGGGAGAAAGTAGTGACCAGCGATGGACAATACTTTGAATCATAAATGTATAAGCAGTTTTTTACAATAAAGCCTTGAATTTCGGAAAAAAAAAACGGCGGAAGCAAAGTTGTACACCTAATAATTTATTTCGAAATATTACCTCGCTCGGGGATTGAACCTGAATCTTTTGCATTCCGTGCGAGCATCCTAGGCCTTTAGACCACTGAAGCAATTTCATACGTGGTATATAAATTCACGAATTATTTGAGCACTAAAGATCATTGGACTTGGTCATAGACTTTGACCATTATGGATCTTATTTCCTATTGGTTGTGTATTCATTATAGTATTTTCTTTAGAAAACTCTGAGAGAAAAAACTTTCGAAGTCAGTTATAAGAATATGTAATAAAAAAGTGGAGGTTTCCTGTTCAAAAAATTTCAGGTGATTTTTACGTGACCTTGAGAATGGTATCCAAGTTATTCTATTATTACTGTAATGTGCCACTTGAAACCCTATAACTTTGGTATGAAAATGCTTACTTTTCAAGGTATTAAGGGGTTTGAAACTTTTTTCACACTCTGTCTAATGATGATATGTAATACCTGGATCTCCATGAGTAACCAAATTTGTCATAGCCAAGTGGAGCTTGTAAGTTTGCATATTCTTGTCCCCATCCGAGTCTCGTAGCAGATCCCTCTGGCATCTCTTCAATAGTGGCTTCCCAATACCAAGTCCCCCTGCTTACATCTGTATAATAAATGTAATTAGATCATTATACAAAACATTACCCATCAACTTTCCAGATGCATAAAATATAAGAACAAATAAAATGCAAATATCACTAAAACAAAAATTAAAAAGAATATTAAAAAATTTCAATTGTGTATCAGTATGCATAATTTCTCAGTAATATTAATAGCTAGTATAACAATTAATATATTATATTTTGAATACAATAAAAAATGGACAATAAGAATAAGAGCATATACACAGCGTGGATCTTAGTATGCCAATTTCTATATAATTAACACAAGAATGTCTACATAATATATAAATGTACAATAATTATCTGTACCATATAATTACGAGTAATATGGTACAGATAATTATTGTATATTTATATATTATGTAGACATTCTTGTGTTAATTATATAGAAATTGGCGTACTAAGATCCACGCTGTGTATATGCTCTTATTGTCCATTTTTTTATTGTATTCTATAATATTGAGAGCCCGATTATATTTATAATTTATTAGATTATATTTTGAATATATCAATATTTTCAAATTAATCAGATTATATCGAAAAATTATGTATATCAGTACTAGAAAATACGCTCTTTCTGATTATATGCTCGTATTTGACATTAAATATTTGTACAATTAGACTTTTAATATAGAAATTTTATATTAAAAAATACACGATATCAATATATAATTGCTAGTAAAATTCAGTCTCTGAGGTTGAAAAGAACGCTAGCATTTTAACAAGTTGATAGAGTATTCTTACGTACTATGCGTGGCTCTAATCATACAATATCCTTTTTCTCCAGTAACCGCTAATCTGTCCTCAGCCACTTTGAGTTGCGGCGCACGATCGTGCAATGCAAGCAAGACCGTACTCGGGCTAAGAGCGCGATAGAGCCAGCCGGGTATAGGTTTACCAGCCCAATCACTGCTTTCGTCGAACTCCTGAACACAAATTGAAATAATTGAAGAATTTAGAAAATATTCAAAATTATTTTAAATGTTATTATGCATTTAAATTCAGAACCTTAATCCCTTGATTATAACACATAGAAATTGCTTTTCAAAACTCCCAATAAAATAAAATAAAAATATGCTACAATTATGATTTACTTTTTACGTATTGATTAATGTGAAACAATAACGTAACTTTAATTAATCAAAAACTTTAATGACGTACTTAATTCTAGATAAATTCCTATATATAATGGCCGCATTCCGATATATTGAAAATTTATAGTTCATGTTATGTATATATTCTAGATTTTCAGTATTGGCAGTGTATATTGAAACACAGCCAATGTATGTAGTCAAAAATTAAGATTTACTTACATTACATTCACATTGCGAATTGATTTACAAAAGAAAAGAAGACAAAAATATGTTATTATGCTGAAAAAGAAATCAACATGATAAAATCTTCTTCAATCAATAAAGTTTTTGAAAATTTATAAATCTGTTGGAAGAATCAACAAAATATTTTTTCCTTTTTTTCTTCAGCAAATCAACTTTTCTTGCAATAGGAATGCAATGAAAATAAAAAAATTTTGATCCTTTGGCTGACACATTGTTCCAATGCATGTATATACACAACACTTTTGTGTGTGTGTGTGTGATTTATATAAAAATTAAAAGTTAATATACGTAGGCAAAGAAAGCTGAAGCATACCTGTCGGAAAGGCGCATGTGGATCTGGCTCTGCCAAAATGTATCTGTAACCATCCTTGTTGAAGGGATGCTCGAGCGGATAACCATGAGCCGGCAGTTTAGGGGTGGTCATGTCGGATCCTCTACCCTTTTTTCCAGAACCCGTGCCCGCTGCTTCACCTGGGAGCTTTCGCTTGGCGTTGCGACCTCGCAATCCTCCGCTAAGTGGCACTGAACGTTCCATTACGATATTTTAATATGTGCTCAATATTTCTCGTCAGCAATATTGTCCTTAATCCTATCTTCTTCCTCTTTAGTCACTGTTTCTTTTCAAAGTATCAAAATACATTGCAAAAAATCAACAATCTTTTTTTTTGTAAATGGGAGGATCAATTTATTCTTGCAATAAATTTCTTGGATAAATAATAATACATTAAATGATATGACGATATCAAAATTAACGTTACGACCTTATAACGACGTGACTTAGAACAAAGTTTATTGAGATGTCTATTAGATGTCTACGTCATGGTTCAAACTTAAATAGTTTTTTTGATAACGAGTTGGTGATTGCGTTTATGATAAGATAAGAAATGACAGATCTAACGACATATACAGTTATGAACAAAACTTTTAGTAATGTATCTAAAAATTGGGAAATAAGCGAAAATTTATGGAATTATATACGTTTAATTTGTTGTATTCCAAAACATATAGGCTTGAAATATTTTATACAAATTATAAAGTATAAAAACGTTAAAAACGCATATATTCGCACACGCGCGCTTATATACAAAACATAAAAGAATTAAAATATACGGGGCGATTTTTAATTTTTGACATTAAAAACAATTTTAAATTAAATGGCTGAACTAATATGGTGGACGGAAATGATAAGTCTCCCAATTTCACTGAAATATAGTATTAAAGAATTTTAATAAATCTAACAAAGAGTTGATGTGAAATTGATAATACCAAAGGTGATAATCTAATAAGAATTAGGAGTTAAAGGCCTATAACGGTCAAAGTTAGAACTTTGATACTTCAATAATTCAATGTGGATTAGATATATATATGCACACATACACGCGCACACGCACACACAAAATATATGGACATACATATATCCCATATTTGTAGTCATTTTAAACTGCGCGCCGAAATTTTATTGGATTTAAAAACGCAGCTAAACTACTAAAATAATATCACAATTAAGTTTTGATGCTCAATAGGCATCTATGAAAGAAATTTCAATATGCTGAAAATCTGTAAATAAATTTATTACGAAAAATATTACCTCAGCCTGGATCTCTAGCATTCTGTGCGAGGTGATAATAATTTAAAAGTGATAGACACATACCAACATGCTGTATTCCCATCTCTGTTGCTCGAAGGTGACCATTCTTGATCATTTGTTCATAATTCGGTTTAATTGACGTGAGTTCGGAGCTAGCCAATCCAAACAGTTGACCCTCAGACGTACTCTCGTCCATCGTAAACAACGTCCCAATGTCTTTAAGCAATGCTCTATGTATCTGGAAGAAATTAAATGGCCATTAAAGATAAAGACATGCTGTTATCACATCTATCTACTGTAATTTAATGAAGGTGTTGTAATTAAATACCGTAGCATGCCAGGACTGAGTGGCTCTGCGAGGCATTGTAGTCATGCTCTCCCAATGACAATCAATAAATGGTATGATATCTTTGTCCTTGTGGAAAAGAGTTTTCTGTCCATTCTCTTTTTGACACATCTGCAGTAGATTTGCGATTGCTGTCACGCACATCTGAGGAAATGCTGCAAAGCCACCACAGAAGCATTATAAACAGATAACTTGAATTGTATCATATATGTAAACTGATATAAATATCATACTTGATATTATTTATACTCACGTGCCTGTGTCTTCTTAAAGCTTTCCAATCCAGTCGGCGAACAATTCTTACATACAAATATATAGTTCACCATAAACGGTACCAGTTTTCCCAACTGATATCCAATACAGGATTCATGGAACCAACGAGAGCAGCTAGCGCAAAGCAATTCAACAATGTTCAGATTCCTTTCTTTGCCGCTGTAAAGTACATTCCATGGTAAAGCATAGTGTTATAAAACAAAAAACATCAGGATAATTCATTACAGATAATCACCAATAACAATTGCTACTTTCATTGTTGTTACTTTGTACGCTGGTTTTCTCCGCTGTTTCATCCTGCTTAGATTTTTGCTTCTTGTCATCAGGCTTTATTTTCTTTTCCTCAACAGCCTCCGTCTGATCTGACTTATCGCTTGGACTACGTTAATTATTTTTAATTATTAATTTATCATAACTGTACAGGTTATAAGGATTTTAATTCTACAATCGTATACAGTTATACATTTCGTCAAATTTTTAAGTCCTTATAAATTCAACTTTTATAAATTCCTTACATTTATATAAGCCTTCTAAGATTTAACTTGTTTAAATTCACAGAGAAAATATGTTTTAAATATTAATTTAATTACTAATAAGGATTTCGAACTTTTAGATTTTTAGTTTTTTGGATTAATAATACGTAAAATTTGTTAATTATTAATTTTTTATACATACAAGTCTTCCATTTTCAAATTTTCGAATCTCAACGTTTGAACTCTTCAAAGTGTTTATCAACAATTAAACCAGAAAACATAACCTCGATTTACAATACCCCAGTAGATTGTGCATAAACGACAGATGCAACATATCGCAAGAAATATAAAACATGTGTTTATCGATAAGTACTCGCTACCTGTCACTTTTTTCTTCTGCCATTGTTTCATAAATCACTCCACTTTGTCAATAAACTCTATAATGTACCCGAGCAAGCCTTCCGGCACAAGACACAACAGGGACACATGGAGGACTGGAGAGAGCATTGCGGTGGTAGGGGTATAATCCTAATAGATGGTCCAAGATGGCCGCTACCGGAAATAAACTGAAGGAGGTAAATTCAAATCGAATTTCAGATTACGATCAATGTATCGTAATAATTGTCTTTTAGAGCATACATAAATTAGTCGGAAGTTCTAAGCGATCTTAAGTCATAATCGGTGAAGTTGGCCAACAACCAACTTGAACGACTTGGTTAAGACTGGTTAAGACTTCTGACGTTCTGACTTGCGGCTTATTGTAGAGGTCCCATTAGTGTTATTACTATTACTTACGAATGAAAAGTCTGTAATTTTCTTATTTTGTCAAGGAGCACGCCGCACAACTAACCATGATGCCATGCATGTCCTCCATGATGCCATGGATGTCATGAAGGACTATGCAGCGCTACTTACGGTAAAAAACGCGTTATAGATGGTCTCCCATGATGCACTTCCGATTACAAAATTCATACCCACACGACCGCAATGCTCTCTCCAGTCCATATTCTGTTAGCGAAGAACATTATTTTTAATAGATATTTTTTACACACTCTTAAGGAAAATTTTCGAAATTCATCTCGATATTCTGAGGATATACTGCGAACAATGTCGCTGCGGACATAGGAATATTATACGAATATCAAACGTGACCTTTTTAGTATATTCTCAGAATATAATGTGCTATCTGGGCATAAGAAGCTAGATTTAGGAATTCTTTTAGACGTTATTTAAATGACGTTAATCTTTTTTCCTCTAAAATTGACGCATTAGATAACTTATTGATATCATTATTTCATGTTACCTTCGAGACTATATTGTAGGACATCTTATTCTTAAATTTGAGCTCTTGAAGAGCTTCTTTCCGATAATATAATGCTTATTGGGGAGCGATTTATTTTTGATGGACTGCTAAACATTCTATGAATATATAAATTTATGTGTATATCTGCATCGCTAAGGAGGACTCCAAAGAGAGTCGAAACGTTCGATTGGAATAGAGACAGCATGCCTTAGCAGAGTAAATAAGTCTTTTATTTCAAAAATTTTTTTGCATTCATCTATATCCGCGCTGTATTCTCATTAGCCCTGAATTTCTTTGTTGCATTTTCTTAAATTATATAAAACTTTAATTAATTTTTGAGATTTATAGAAAATTTCTTTTTAAACAGAATTTTAATCTGTTAAATTATCAATACTATCATATAAATTTTATTTATTGCTATCATTGCTATCACAAATATTTGTTAACATAAAAAAATCTTTTTATTTCTAATCGCTATAATTGTTATTAAAAATTGTTGCAGGTAATAAATTCTTGATAAATAAATTATGAATGTTTAACAATAATTTATAATCTGTCACATATAGAAAGCTCTGTGATAATTAACATTAAAATGAAGTATTTAAAAGTTCTTATTAATAACAGAAAGTAAAACGAACCGATTAAAGCACTCATCACTGTCATTCCAACGTTTCTTATTGTAAAGGAAGGAAAAAAGGAATAAAAAAATGAACTTTTTCAAGATTGTACGTCCATAGGGTGACTGTTCTTTTCTTTGCAGTAATTCATAATTTAAACAAATTTCTGGTCTTTCAGCCTTACATAAAGGTTCCTAAAGAACTACGTAGAGGCGTACCGTCTCGACGTAGATAATAATGAGTGCAATAAATATTTATTGCTACGAATGCTACTGCAAATTCAGTTTCTCGAAGATTGCTTTGGTGATACAACCGTGGAAGCAACGCATATGTTTTCCGATATATACGACAATCGACGAGATTAAACGGAATTTTTCATAAGCGTCTGACTATCATCTATACCCTGAGTTAAACAAATTTCATTCCCGCGAAACAGCGATAGGTAAGGGACGATAATAAGGGAGATGGACAATGTCGATAAATTCTTTCGAGAGTCGCATTACAATATTATACAGGTTCTATTAAGCGTCAGCGGTCTATGGCCCTATCATACGACAGGTAAACGCTGTGCGATATATTTCGCATTTCTACTCGTACTTGGATCTGGAATGACATTTGAGGTACACGATCATTTAATTATTATGACGCATTATATACATTTTTTAATTCTGCGATTTTGTTATCTGAAGACGTAGTGAAAACTTAATAAATACCAAACGTTTTTTTCAATAATTATATTGTTAAATAATAGTGGTAATTGTAGAATTTAATACTTTATAGCGTGTCGCTATCTTTTTTCTCGACTATGACAAAGCATGAAATTAAAACGAATCAAATCGATTACAAGTACAAATATCGCACGAGTGATACATTTACATAATATATAAATCCATTCTGAATGTAGGTGTTGGGTACAATTGAAATTTGGTCAGATTCTTTAGAAATGATTGATTGTTTGCCGATATTAGTTCTCGGCATGGTAGCGATAAGTAAACTGATTTGTGCAATATATACGTTACCGGAGGTGCGTAAATAAAAATAATCACTCTTATATGTATACACGGAAAGAACGGTTTTGCTAAAATATCTAAAAATTTAACTAAATTTAAATCTGAAATTAATTTTGTCAAATCACCGCAATAATTATATAATTCAAACTGGTTGCTGGAATGTCTAAACTTTTTGCAGCATTGCTTATTATGCTTAAACATCCTACATAATTATTTTAACAATCCAACAAACTATTTGCAGATCTATATTTATAATTAAATTTTTAGATGTACTTCGATCAGCAAAATTGTTCTTTCCGTTTCAATTTAAATGACTGAGTAGAATAAGATTGGATAATAGTCAAGCAACGTAAAATCGTACTTAAATTGATCTCGAGCTGCAGATTAGAACACTTTTGACGAGAATGCGACAATATTGGTATTCTCCAAAGTCGGATGAAGAGACTAGAATTCTGCTTTCATATGCATTGTATGGAAAGAAATTGGGCTACGTTTATACAGGCGAGTTCAAGGTCATCGGGGCTGTCTTCCCTATTCGGCATATTTTTATCAAAATATTTTCTATAATTCTTATTAAATTTTAATCTTTTTTTAACATTTTACATGTTACCTTGACATCGCGCGTACCTCTTCTCATCACATTGATAAAATCACAAATTATAAGAGAACCCGAAAACGTGTGACGGTTTTTTTAATTATTAGGTGTCTTACTCAGTCATACTGTTGTTTTTGTATTTACAACATTATTAAGTAAACTACTCTACACGGAATCCAGCAAGGATGATCCGTCAAGTAATGCACATAAACAAGTAGGATTACCGTACCACGTCAATTATATGATTGATCCAAAAAAATATTATGTTCCAATTTTTGTACATGTTACTACATGCGTTATATCTTACACAATCTTGGTGCTTACATTTGACGTCTTGTATATGACGCTCATCCAACATTGCTGCGGTTTGTTTGTAGCTTTGAGGTGAGTGTTAGATCATTGATCAAAATTGCTTTTAAGTAACATCTGTGAATAACATGATCTTGCAGATATCGTTTGGAAAGATCATTTGAATGCGAAGGCGACGATTTGCAGATGCCTGCGAGGAACAAACTTTACTCGAATATTGTGTACAGTATTCGAAGGCACACAGAGGCGATACAGTTAGTACATGTTTTCGTCATTACTTGTCATTCTGAAGTATACAATAATTTATGCTTTTATACGTACTATGATAGATTTTCCCTTGTTATTGAGTCAATACATAGAATACCGCTCTTCATACACGTCGGAGCTAACATATCGGTTCTGAGTATTTTAGGATTTCAGGTAATTATATATATATATATATATATACTCATTTGATAGTTATACGTTGATTTTAATTACGTTCATATATGCTTCTTTAGGTGATAACGAGTACGGAAGATGTCAATCACTTGTTGAAACACACTAGTTATTTAAGCGCACTTTTACTCAACACATTTTTTGAAAATTGGCAAGGTCAGAAAATAATAGATTCCAGCGAAAAGGTGTATGAATCCGCGTACGTTTTACACATGCTACCAGAAATGCACTTATTAAAATCATATATGCTCAAGTGAATAAAATAACAAGAAATAATAAAATTGAAAAATTTCTCGAAGTAGTGTAAAAGATTTAATGTTTTCTTTTAAAAAAAGAATAAAAAAGATAAGTAAATAGCTAAGTAGATACTAAAAGTAATAAATTTACAGATACAATGCGGAATGGTACAAAATGCCAATAGCGCAAAGAAAGCTTTTCATTATGATCATGATGAAAAGCAGAAAATCACTAAAAATAACCGCGGGTAATTTTGTTAACCTGTCATATGTAAATTTCAATGCAGTAAGTAAAATGATAGCTTAGTTATAATAGGGGAGACTGGGGACAGTTGTAAGAATTTTTTTAGAAATATACATATATTTCTTTATTTGTGACATATATTTATTTCTTTTAATGCACATGACTATTTAGTTTTATGATACTATTTGCAAAAAGGTGTAATTTTGAGTTGTTAACACACAATGCGTATATCTTTTAAATGATAAGTTATCATTTAAAAGATATACGCATTGTGTTACAACTAACCTCCGTTACAACTGTCCCCAGTCTCTCCCACATACAATTTTTTGATTAAAAAGTGTAAAATTTTGCCTAATTTAATTTAAGGTATTGCGTGCATCATCATCTTATTTTATGCTACTACGATCTATACAATACAAATTTCAAACGTAATAAATAATATATATAACAAATGTCAAGATATTAATGTTCATACTTATTAATAATTATAATTAATTCACTTAAAAGGATGGGTATGAATTTTGGCTATGAATTATATGTAATGAGCTATATAACCTTCCATGAATTTTCTGTAACGTAATTTTCTGTAATTAAAATAAAGTTGCAGAAGTGTCATTTTAATAACTAATACTCAAACTTTAGAATTTATTAATTAAATAAATAGCGATTAATAAAAATAACAATAAATAATGTAATTAAATTTTTGCAGTTTTTCTAAATTATACAAA